TAAATTAAGTGAAATATTCCATTCTTGCCTATTTTACAGTAAAACCCAAAAATTCATAACTCAGTCAAGATCAATCCACGTTATGTCAGAATATCAAGATGTAATCTGTTTTACTTGCTCAATGCTATACAGTTTAATAGAAGCTTTAAAAGTCGACAGAAAATACTCTTGTTTTTGAAAGGGTTTTCTAGAAATCTTGCGAAGTACACGTATGTTTTTTATTATTCTCAAATAAAACATCCTTTGAAACAAGTAAAACAGAGTACATCTTGATATTCTGACATAGCTTGGATTGATCTTGACTGAGTTATGAATTTTTGGGTTCTACAAAGAAGATTTTCAAAATTATTTTTCTACTAAACGATGCGTCAAACTCTTCTATTATTACTCACTCACTAATGCTGTGCATGTCTCTTCGATTTACCATTAGCTGTATTTTGAGATAAGAAAATGCATGCAAAAAATGATTTCTGAAATGAAGCTTCCGATTTTCTGCAGAAGCTACTATCTGTTTCAAAACACAGTACACTGTAAAAAATAAAGTGTGACCAAAACATACTTAACTTGCACATCACTTTGATTCGCATTTGCACATCTAGAATGCACGATGTGATGTGCCAGAAACACACTAGCAAAATTTACACACCTGCGAATATAGAAAGACTTTTACACACCTAGAAAAGAACACACCAGTTTGATTCGCATTTGCACACTTAGAACTTTTACACATCTACGGGCACACTTTATTTTTTACAATGTATACTCGGTTGTTTTTCGAATAACTCAGGAATAAAAGGTTTTGGAAACAATTTTTGTCGAAAATATTTTTTCCTTAGAAAGACATGATTAAAAGTCTTGGCTATCGATCAGTGAAAAGTGCAAATTTCTACCACCTTTTAATTGTTAGTTATTCAAAACCGAGCAGAGTATATTGATTGTGTTTAAAAACGGATAGTATCAAGGAAGTGGGGTCTGCCATCCGATTTTTTAAAATTTAGAATAACACTTTCAAAAATCTTAATTTTGGCGTGAGCATTCACTTCAATTCAAAATTGTGAAATAACACTTCAAAAAATTTGTGAAATATAATAGATAGATCGTTCATCGAAATGAGAAGAAAGCTCCGGATTCAAAATCCCGAGGCATCTCTGATCAAGCACGATTTAGCCGGAATCCATATACGTGAATATAATGGTTTGCTTCTCGAATAGAGCACTTTTCACATAGGCTTTTCCATAACTGGCCTGAGTTGATATTGACATTTCAAGAGAAAGGTGATAACATTGATATGAAAAGCTTTCGCTCTGTGTTTCTGAACAATTTATTACGTTCTAATTTTATTTTAGAAAACTTCGTTTTTGTTGAAAAGTTGTTAGAAAAACCTACCGTTTATCGCATGAAAACAAGACTCTCAAGAAGTAGGTCCAAGATTCCCTGATCGGTTACTATGAGTCAGCTTGCTGGTTCCGACGTATCGTTATCCGGAAGAGTCTCAAGCCATTGGTTAAGACATGCATATAATGTGGTGATTAATGCTTGTGTGTCATAATGATTGATTTGTGCTACTGTACGCTTATTGCTTCTTAAATTATGATCTTTCAACTTCTTACAATAATCAATACCAAAATAGATTACTTTATAGTCCAATTCTCTTATATCAAATATATTTTGTAGTTTCCGATAACCTTTTAGATCACGCCAATTTGCAGTGTTGGTAACAGCAGAAGCATCTACACAAAATACATAGGCTTCGGCGATCTGTGTATTACCTGGACGTAAATAAGAATCCATTTGTAGAACA